GACTAGACTTAATGTCAAGGGGAAAACTTGACCTTTGCCTTTATAGAAGGGCCGTAAGAGGTCTTGGGCCCCAAATCAGGGGGAAAGTAGGACCACAAATAAACGAACAAGAAACAAAAGGGAATCCACCTGCAAGTCTATGAGGGCTTCCTTGCTCACCTGTGAGGATCTGTCTCTGTGAGACTATCGGTGAGGATGTAGCTGGTCTTCTCACCTTCGGTGGTCAAGCCCTGAGAAGGACAACAAATACAATAAAATATGTCTGACAGAAAGAGAGGCAGGGACACAGCTACTGGTGTAAATAAGCCCATTGTTTCATAATCTGCTCACTGCTCTCTTTCCAAAGCAGAAAGGCAGGCTAGTCACCTTTTTGTGGAATTAAAAGCGTTCCACAGGTGGGGGGCCACAACCGAGAAGGCCCCGTCTCTCGTCCCCGCCAAACGCGTTTGCGATGTTGACGGAAGCGAGATCAGGGCCTCCCCAGAGGATGGGAAATAGAGGCAGATGCGTTCGGACAAGGAAGCTGGGCCAGAACCATAAAGAGCTCAATGCCAAGCACAAGGACCAACCAACCCATTAGTCACTCACCTGAACAGGCTGGCCGTCCCTCCAAACCATTCCTTCTCCTTCGCTCTCCCAACGAAGGTGCACCTCTTTTCTGGCCCATTCTTCGGGGATACCGAGCTCGGCTCTGAACCAGCAGGTGTGCCACCTTCGCAAAAGGACAGAAGGATGCTCTTTAAAGGCAAACGGTATACAGAATTGGGCAAGCGTTGCACTGGAGACGGGCCTTCGATTTGATTGATCTGAGCATTAAATCTACCCATTTTATTTTGTTTGCTTTTTCAAGCAGACACTTAAAATTGCTCATTGTCGTTTTGATTACTGGGTTGCCAGGAAAATGATGGGAAACTCAAGGTGCAGCTACACTGGAGGGCGAATGCAGTTTGAGACCACTTTAACTGCCTCAGCCAAGTGCAACTGAAGCACGGGAGCGGCGGCTTCACAAGGTCTTTAGCTTTCTCTGCCCAAGAGTGCCAGTCCCTCACTAAACCACAACTCTCAGGGTTATACAGCATTGCACTGTAGCAGTTAAAGTGGTGTCAAAGTGCATAATTCTACAATGTAGATGAGGCATGGGCCAACTTCGGTCCTCCTTTTGGACTTCAACTCCCACAATTCCGACTGGCTGTTAGGGATTGTGGGAGTTGACGCCCAAGACACCTGAAGGGAGGGCGGAAGTTGGTTCTATGTGACAAAAGTGAAGTATCCGGGTCGTTATTCTCTAAACAAATACTTACGTCAGACCGAAAGCCTCCCCGACTTTGATGGGTCTGAACTCTTGCCGAATGGCTTCCTCGTACGGGATTCGTTGAGAGGTTTCAAAGCAAGAGAGAGCGGCCAATGAGCAGGTGTCGCCAAACAGCCTGGAATTAAATAATATAAATCATTAAATAATATACAGCTGCATATTGCAGCCACACATAGGCTGGGTCTACACTGCCATATACTGTAGTTTGGGACTACGTTATCTGGTCGCTCTAGAGCAGGAATGGGCAAACTTGGGCTCTCCCTCCAGGTGTTTTGGACTTCAACTCCCATCATTCCTAATGCCCGGTAGGCTACTAGACATTTTGGGAGTTGAAGTCCAAAACACCTGCAGGGAAGGCTGAAATTGGCCCATGCCTGTTGTAGATCCAAATAATAATAATAACAACAACAACAACAACAACAACAGTCCTAGACAACTGGGAAGTGTACGACGTGTGATCCAATACAACAGCCAGCAGAGTGATCCTGTCTGCTGTGGACTCATCTTCTTGTGTTTCAAATAATAATTATTATTATTTTATTTTATTTATTTATCATGTCAAGCAAAAAGTGGGTGCTAGAGATAATATCACGGGCACAACCTGAGGATCACAACTAGACACAGTGAAGACATCTGCCCTTGTGTTTTGCTATTCTGCTGCTGAGTACGCATGCCCAGTGTGGAACACATCTCACCATGTTAAAACAGTGGGTGTGGCTCTGAATGAGACATGCCAAATTATCACAGGATGTCTGCACCCCACACCACTGGAGAAATTACACTGTCTAGCCGGTATTGCACCCCCTGACATCCATCGAGAAGCAGCAGCCAGCAATGAAAGGACCAAGACAGTGACATCTCTGGCCCATCCTCTGTTTGGATATCAGCCAGCAATGCCTTAAATCAAGAAATAGCTTCCTAAGATCAACAGAGACAGGAACACCTCAGCAAGCAAGAGTCCAAAAGTGGCAGGCTCAAACCCAGAACCTCAATCAACGGCTGATACCAAGTTGGAGATATCTAGAGATGTTTTAGATGACCATAAGTTGGAGATTCCATCTGAACATGAGGAAGAACGTACTGACTGTGAGAGCTGTTCAGCAGTGGAACTCTCTGCCCCGGAGTGTGGTGGAGGCTCCTTCTTTGGAGGCTTTTAAGCAGAGGCTGGATGACATCTGTCAGGGGTGCTCTGAATGCAATATTCCTGCTTCTTGGCAGAATGGGGTTGGATGAGATGATGGCCCCCCAGGTCTCCTCCAACTCTAAGGTTCTATGATTCTACTCTCTCTTCTGCTTTGGTGAGGCCTGTTTACCTTGAATACTACGTCCAGTTCTGAGCACCACAATTCAAAAGAGATACTGACAATCTGGAGGGTATGCAGAGGAAGAGGGCAACTAGAAGGATCAAAGGTCTGGAAACCACGAATAACCCCTCTGAGGAGCACTTGAAAGAGCTAGGCGTGTTTAGCCTGCAGAAGAGGTTGAGAGGAGACATGAGAGCCATGTTTACATACGTGAAAGGATGTCATAAGGAAGAGGAAGCAGGCTTGTTTTCTGCTGCCCTCGAAACTAGGACTAGGAGCCATGGCTTCAAACTACAAGAAAGGAGATTCCATCTGAACATGAGGAAGAGCTTCCTAACTGTAAGGAGAGCCATTCAGCAGAGGAACCCTCTGCTGCAAGTGTGGTGGAGGCTCCTTCTTTGGAGGCTTTTAAACAGAGGCTGGATGGCCATCTGTCGGGGGTGCTTTGAATGCAATTTTCCTGTTTCTTGGCAGAATGGGGTTGGACTGAATAATGGCCCACCAGGTGTCTTTTCTAACTCTATGATATGGCCATAAGTTGGAAATATCTTGAGATGTTTTAGATGACCATAAGTTGGAGATTCCATCTGAACATGAGGAAGAACTTCCTGATTGTGAGAAGGGCTGTTCAGCAGAGGAACTCTCTGCCTTGTAGTGTGGTGGAGGCTCCTTCTTTGGAGGCTTTTAAACAGAGACTGTGTGGCCATCTGTCTAGGGTTCTTTGGATGCAATTTTCCTGTTTCTTGGCAGAATGGGGTTGGACTGGATGATGGCCCACCATGTGTCTTTTCTAACTCTATGATTCTATGATATGGCCAGAAGTTGGAGATATCTAGAGATGTTTTAGATGACCATACGTTGGAGATTCCATCTGAACATGAGGAAGAACTTTCTGACTGTGAGAGCCATTCAGCAGTGGAACTCTCTGCCCCAGAGTGTTGTAGAGGCTCCTTCTTTGAAGGCTCTTAAACAGAGGCTGGGTGGCCATCTGTCGGGAGTGCTTTGAACACAATTGTCCCGCTTCTTGGCCAAATGGGGTTGGACTGGATGACCCACCAGGTCTCTTCCAACTCTAGGATTCTATGATTCTAAGAACTTCCTGACTGTGAGAGCTGTTCAGCAGTGGAACTCTCTGCCCCAGAGTCTGGTGGAGGCTCCTTCTTTGGAGACTCTTAAACAGAGGCTGTCTGGCCATCTGTCAGGGGTGCTTTGAATGCAATATTCCTGCTTCTGGGCAGAATGGGGTTGGACTGGATGGCCTCTCCCAACTCCAGGATTCTCTGAGTCTATAAATCAAGATGATGATGAGGATGATGATGACACTGCCAGATAATCCCGTTCAGAAAAGATAATCCGGATGTTCTATGGCAGCGTCAAAGCCGTTCTCGTGAATATCCTTTTTAATCTGTTTTGGTGTTGGGAGATAATAAATAATGAATAATAATAATACACTTTATTTATACCCCGCCTCCATCTCCTGAAGGGGGCTCGGAGTGGCTCACATGAGGCCAGGCCCAAAACAATAAAACATAATAAACACACAATAACAAAATACATCATCACAAAGTATTGCAGTTTTGGAGTTGGGTGCCATCTGTACGCAGATGACACGCAGCTCTACTACTCTTTTCCACCTAATTCCAAGGAAGCCCCTCGGGTGCTGGACGAGTTCCTGGCCGCTGTGGCTGTCTGGATGAGGAGGAACAAGCTGAAGATCAATCCCGACAAGACAGAGGTCCTCCTGGTCGATCGTAAACTGGATCGGGGTATAGGGTGGCAACCTGTGTTGGACGGGGTTACACTCCCCCTGAAGTCCTCCTTGACTCTTCACTTATGCTTGAAGCTCAGGCGCCGGCGGTGTCCAGGAGGGCCTTTGCACAATTAAGACTCGTGCGCCAACTGCAACCGTACCTCGTGAAGGCGGATCTGGCTAGGGTGGTCCATGCCTTAGTTACCTCCAGATTAGACTACTGTAATGCACTCTATGTGGGGCTGCCCTTGAAAACGGCCCGGAAATTCCAACTGGTTCAACGGGCGGCGGCCAGATTGTTAACTGGTGCTCCTTACAGGGAGTGGTCAACCCTCCTGTTTAAGGAGCTCCATCGGCTGCCATTCATTTTCTGGTCCCAATACAAGGTGCAGGTTCTTACCTACAAAGCCCTAAACAGTTTGGGACCCGCCTACATGTGTGACCGCATTTCAGTATACGAACCCACATGACCTCTTTGATCTTCCGGAGAGCCCTGCTCACGATCCCACCTGCATCGCAAGCGCGATTGGTGGGGACAAGGGACAGGGCCTTCTCTGTGGTGGCCCGTCGACTCTGGAACTCACTCCCAAAGGATAGCAGGCATGCCCCGATGTTGGCAGTCTTTAGGAGGAGCTTGAAAACGTGGTTGTTTCAGTGTGCCTTCACAGAATAGGAAACTCCAACCACTTTGTCCCAAATGCACATTACTAGAGATCTAGGACTGTCTGCACGCCCTACCTATTCTCCAAAATATCTATCCATTTCACCCGGTCATGCCCAGCTTTTTAAATTTTAACCTTTACATCTGGCCCTGACATTGGTTTTAATTGTGTTGTGTTGTTATTGTTAATGTTATTGCTTGTGTTTTATTTACTGCTGTATTGTTGTTGTCTTGTTTATTGTTGTATTGGGTCTCGGCATATTGTAAGCCGCACCGAGTCCCTCGGGAGATGGTAGCGGGGTACAAATAAAGGTTTATTATTATCATTGCAGGTTCAAATCCTTCGAGTAGTCCCCTTTCTTGATATTTAGTTAACTGACTGTATTCTCTGATATGAGCCTCTCAGAAGAGTTTTAGGAGAAGGCCTTCAGTAGCAAGAGGAGAGCCTTCTTGGTGGTGGCTCCAAGACCCTTTCCAAGAATGACCAGACTGACCCTGTCCCAAGATCAGTTTTCCAGGTGGCAAAGACCTCTTCATTCATGACATTTTGTCACTTGTCTGGCTAGGAGCCCCCCGTGGCGCAATGTCCCGGCAGGACTGAAAACCGACAGGTTGGGGGTTTGTGGATGAGCTCCCTCTGTCAGCTCCAGCTCCTCATGCAAAGGGGACATGAGAGAAGCCTCCCACAAGGATGATAGAAACATCCATTCATCCGAGCAACGTCCCTTGGGCAACGTCCTTGCAGACGGCCAATTCTCTCACGCCAGAAGCAACTTGCAGTTTCTCAAGTCGCTCCTGACACGACAATATATATATATATATATATATCACAAAATATGAAATAACAAATAAAATCAACAATCTAAAACTGCATAATAAAACCAGGCAAATGTACGAGGTAAAATGTTACAGAGTTAAAAGAGGAGATAGGGAGGAAAGCGCATTTGTAGGGGAGGGTGAGCCCAGAGGTGCATCCACACTGGAGAATTAACGCGGTTTGGTACCACTTCAACTGCAGCGGCGCCATGCGACTGAATCCTGGGAGTTGTGGGAGTTGCTTTTTGGCCTTCTCTGGACCAGGCATGCCGCTGCCTCCCCACACTCCCCCTTCCGGGACCCAGAGCGGGATGGAACCGCGTTAACTCTCCCGAGGAGATGGCCTAGGTGGGGGAGACTGTGGCCGAGGGACGAGCCCACCTTCCCCGGAGGTTGCAGTCCAGGAAATAGGCCTCGGAGACGAACTTCTCGGCCCGCTCGAGGGTGGTCCGGCGGTGCTTCAGCAAGGGCGCTTTGGGAGAGAGTCCGGACCCGGCCATGGTTCCCGGGAACACCAGCGAAGGCCCCCTGGCGGTGCAGCACACAAAAAGAGCCGGAGAGCAACGCCGCCGCCGGACACAAGGGTTCCGCCCCCTTCCTCCCTTCCCCTTGGGAGGGAAAGAAAGACAAGATGGAAATAATACAGTATGTTATATTATTAGTACAGCACAATATTAGTATTATGTATTACTGTATTGTACTATGACACTAGACTGTAACACTATCAGTAGTATTACATGTAATGTAAAAATATAATTCTTATATTTATGATTATATTGTATTACATTATAACATTATTATCAGTATTATATGTCTATACTATATATTATATTATAATATTAGTATTATATTGTATTATACCACTATACTGTAATATTATTAGTAATATTACATGTAATATAAAAATATAATTCTCATATTTATTATTATATTGTATTACATTATAGCATTATTATCAGTATTATATGTCTATACTATATATTATATTATTACCACAACACAATATTAGTATTATGTATTACTATACTGTATTATACCACTATACTGTAATATTATTAGTGGTATTACATGTAATATAAAAATATAATTCTTTTTTTTTATTTATCGTGTCATCCGCAACCAGAACATTGTGTTACATTTCTAACAGAGCAAAACAAACAAACAGATAAAAAAACACAAGTTTTGCAAACTTGGTAGCTGATTAAATGTCCTTTGACCAGTATCTGGCCACTTGGAGTGCCTCTGGTGTTGCCGCAAGAAGGTCCTCCATTGTGCATGTGGCAGGGCTCAGGTTGCATTGCAGCAGGTGGTCAGTGGTTTACTCTTCTCCACACTCGCATGCCGTGGATTCAACCTTGTAGCCCCATTTCTTAAGATTGGCTCTGCATCTCGTGGTGCCAGAGCGCAGTCTGTTCAGCGCCTTTCAAGTCGCCCAGTCCTCTGTGTGCCCAGGGGGGAGTCTCTCATCTGGTATCACCCACGGATTGAGGTGCTGGGTTTGAGCCTGCCATTTTTGAACTCTTGCTTACTGAGGTGTTCCAGCGAGTGTCTCTATAGATCTTAGAAAACTATTTCTTGATTTAAGTCGTTGACGTGCTGGCTGATACCCAAACAAGGGATGAGCTGGAGATGTCTCTGCCTTGGTCCTTTCACTATTGGCTGCAACTTCCCGGCGGATGTCAGGTGGTGCAATACCGGCTAAGCAGTGTAATTTCCCCAGTGGTGTAGGGTGCAGACACCCCGTGATAATGCGGCATGTCTCCTTAAGAGCCACATCCACTGTTTTAGTGTGGTGAGATGTGTTCCACACTGGGCATGCATACTCAGCAGCAGAGTAGCATAGCGCAAGGGCAGTTGTCTTCACTGTATCTGGTTGTGATCCCCAGGTTATGCCAGTCAGCTTTCGTATGGTATTGTTTCTAGCACCCACTTTATGTTTGATGTTCAGGCAGTGCTTCTTGTAGGTCAGAGAACGGTCCAGAGTGACTCCCAGTTATCTGGATGTGCTGCAATGCTCCAGTGGGATTCCTTCCCAGGTAATCCTCAGAGCTCGGGATGCTTGTCTGTTCTTAAGGTGAAGGATATGTGTTTTAGATGGATTAGGGATCAGCTGGTTTTCCCTGTAATAGGCAGTAAGAGCACCTAGAGCTTCGGAGAGCTTCTGTTCAACCATCTCAAAGCTCCCTGCTTGAGCAGTAATGGCACGATCATCAGCATAGATGCAACTCTCTGTCCCTTCTGGCAGTGGCTGGTCATTTGTGTAGATGTTGAACATGGATGGAGCAAGCACGCTCCCCTGAGGCAGGCCGTTCTTCTGTTTCCGCCATCTGCTTCTCTGGCCCTGGAACTCAACAAAAAAGCTCCTGTTTTGTAGCAGGTTTCCTATGAGGCGGGTGAGGTGGTCGTCCTTTGTGATATTATACATTTTTCTCAGGAGGAGGCGGTGGTTCACAGTATCATAAGCCGCTGACAGGTCTATGAAGACAGCTCCTGTGATCTGCTGCTTTTCAAAGCCATCTTCTATGTGCTGAGTCAGGTTCAGCACTTGCGATGTGCAGCTTTTGCCTTTCCTGAAGCCAGCTTGCTGTGGAATCAGACATGGGTCTATTTTTTCCATAATTCTATGCAGAATAAGTCTCTCCAGAACTTTGTAGAGGTGGCACAGCAGGGAGATTGGTCTGTAGCTTTTTGGATCATTACGGTCTTTGCCTGGCTTCAAGATGGCAATGACTCTTGCTTTCCTCCAGATTTTGGGGATCTGACAGGATGCAGTGCAGTTGTTCATCAGCTCCAGTAGCCAGCACTTTGCTTTTGGGCCAAAGTTCTTGATTTGTTCCATCCGTAGATCATCCAAGCCAGCTGCTTTGCCATTCTTACATTTATTGAGAGCCATGTCCAATTCAGTAGATGTAAAGGGTTCATGAAGGTTGTTGTTCTCAATCTCTTGTTGTCTGGCTATTGGTTTCTTTCCTACTTTGGTGGCAAGGTTGGGTTTCCCGTTCTTCAAGAGTTGGTGTGCTATCTGATCTGCCTTTATGTTGGCATGGGTATTAGTTTGTGAGGGATCGTTGCTCAGCCGTCTCAGCAGCCTCCACGCCTTCTGGCTGCTCCTGCCCATGTTGACCTCTGTGATCAGCTTGATCCACTGTTCTTTCTTGGCTTCAGAGATGGAGGACACAATGTTCTGCGCTGCCTGAAGAGTCTGCTCACTAAATGGGTCTTCGTTGTGGAGCCTGTAATAGTTTTCCAACAAGGCAGCTGTTTCAGGAGTAATGCCCTGAAGGTAGTTGGTTCTGCAGCCTCTCAGTATCGAGGCCCGTGAGCAGGTTTTCACGATTTCAATAAAATGTTCGTATTCCTCAGGGATTGGCGCGACCGATGTGATCATGTCATCTAACATGTCTGAGAATTTAGTCCAATCTGCCTTTCTGAAGTTGTATCTTCGTTTAAATCGAACTTCCTGAGGCCTTATTGTTGGGAACAGTTGGCATATTATTGGTCGGTGCTGTGTGTTTGGGATTGGTGGTCCCACTAATTTAGTGCATTGCTGTACGATGCTGTCGCTCACAAATAAGAGGTCTGGGTTATAACCTCGGTGCCATCTCCCGCTGTTGTAGGATGGTGAGAGCTTGCTATCATGGATGAGTGATAGTTTGTGCAGTTCAGACCAGGACAGGACAGCCTCTCCATTTTTATCCTCTTGAGCATAGCCCCATACGTGGCTATGGCTGTTGAAGTCCCCAATTACTACCACCCTTTGGTGCCTGTCAAAGTTCTCGGGGGAGGAGAAGCAGAACTCTTCATTTGGGGGCTTGTACACAGAGGTGATGGTGATGTTATTAAGCTCTACTGTTAGAACCTCGATATAGTTTTCTTCATATTCAGTATTATTTATTATTATTATATTGTATTACAGTATTATATTATATGTATACAATATATTATATTATTATATATGTGTATACAATATATTATATTACTACCACAACGCAATATTAGTATTATTTATTACTATACTGTATTATACCAGTATACGGTAATATCATTAGTAATATTACATGTAATATAAAAATATAATTCTTATATTTATTATTATTATATTGTATTACATTATAACATTATTATCAGTATTATATGTGTATACAATATATTATATTATTACCACAGCACAATATTAGTATTATGTATTACTATATTGTATTATACCACTATACTGTAATATTATTAGTAATATTACATGTAATATAAAAATATAATTCTTATATTTATTATTATTTTGTATTACATTATAATATTATTATCAGTATTATATGTGTATACAATATATTATAATATTACCACAGCACAATATTAGTATTATGTATTACTATATTGTATTATACCGCTATACTGTAATATTATTAGTAATATTACATGTAATATAAAAATATTATATTATTTTTATATTAGACCACACCTGGAATATTGTGTCCAATTCTGGGCACCACAATTCAAGAGAGATATTGACAAGCTGGAATGTGTCCAGAGGAGAGCAACTAAAATGATAAAGGGTCTGGAAAACAAGCCCTATGAGGAGCGGCTTAAGGAGCTGGGCATGTTTAGCCTGAAGAAGAGAAGGCTGAGAGGGGATATGATAGCCATGTATAAATATGTGAGAGGAAGCCACAGGGAGGAGGGAGCAAGCTTGTTTTCTGCTTCCTTGGAGACTAGGACGCGGAACAATGGCTTCAAACTACAGGAGAGGAGATTCCATCTGAACATGAGGAAGAACTTCCTGACTGTGAGAGCCGTTCAGCAGTGGAACTCTCTGCCCCAGAATGTGGTGGAGGCTCCTTCTTTGGAAGCTTTTAAACAGAGGCTGGATGGCCATCTGTCAGGGGTGATTTGAATGCAATATTCTTGCTTCTTGGCAGAATGGGGTTGGACTGGATGGCCCATGAGGTCTCTTCCAACTCTTTGATTCTATGATTCTATATATATTGTGGTCTAATCTCTATATAAATAAAAATGTAATGTTCGTTTGTGGGATTAACAGAACTCAAAAACCACTGGGGGAATTGACACCAAATTTGGACACAAGACACCTAACAATCCAATTTATGTATTGTCGAAGGCTTTCATGGCTGGAATCACTAGGTTCTTGTGGTTTTTTTTGGGCTATAGAGGCATTTCTCTTGACGTTTTGCCTGCATCTATGGCAAGCATCCTCAGAGGTAGTGAGGTCTGTTGGAATTAGGACAATGGGTTTATATATCTGTGGAATGGCTGGGGTGGGGCAAAGAGCTCTTCTCTGCTGGAGCTAGGTGTGAATGTTTCAACTGACCACCTTCATTAGCATTTGAAGGCCTGGCTGAGCCTGGGAAAATTTTTTGTTGAGAGGTGTTAAGATGTGCCTGGTTGTTTCCTTTATTTACTGTTATGATTTTAGAGGGTTTTTTTTATTAATGGTAGCCAGATTTTGTTCATTTTCATGGTTTCTTCCTTTCTGTTGAAATTGTCCACATGCTTGTGGATTTCAATGGCTTCTCTGTGTAGTCTGACATGGTGGTTGGGAGA